TTGTACACTGTGAAGTTGTATTTCAGTGATAGGTATAATAAAAAGCTGAGTGACCAATACTTAGGGATGAGTGGCACACAGGACTTTTGGGCTGAGAGAGAATGCTTGGAAGAAGAATCACCAGCCAGACACAGAGGAAGCAGGATGAACAGTACAGAGTAAAGGTAACCAACCCAGGTAAAAGAATGTAGATTTGGAGATATGGGCTAATTTAAGTTATAAGAACTCCTGAAGAACAAGCCTATGCTAAGGCTGGGCTTTCATAATGAATAATAAATCTCCATGTCATTATTTGCAGTCTGGGGTCCCTAGAAAAAGAACTACTACATATGGTATCCACTGTGGGGTATGTATTTTCACATAGGACTCATGAAAGCGTAAAAATAAAAAGTTCTAAACATACAAACACAGAGTCAAATATGGCTTCCTAGTCCCTAGTTTCTCAGGGAGGCCACTGGTCATAGAGATGCAGCTCCTGATTGCTGCTTGTTGGCTTGAGCCAGCCAACTACATGTGCTGAGATAAGAACTGTGTTTAAGGCTTGGCTCATGTGGTCAGAGAAAGCAAAAGGTAGGCAGTAAAGCAGTCCAGACCAAGAAAACCTTTAAACAAATACAGTAAAAGATGGGTATAGACAGTCACAGAAAGAAAACAAATAGTTTAAAAATAATAGTCTTTAAGAGAAAATAAAGTAAAATAAAGAAAAGCCCTATAAAGATGGTAAATACACAGGTCATCTGGATCCTGTATGGTGCTTTGTTGAATTTGAATGTTTTGAATGCTGATGACCAAAGAGCAGCTGCTGAGAGAAATTGAATTATGAAAGGGATTGATGATTTAAACCACCCTATGTACTTTAGACATGTCTTGGTTTCAGAATGGATGTAATAAATTATGATGCATTAGGGAAGTGGTTATGCCTTTGTTTCCACAGGAAACAAAAAGTTATAGTTTTCTTCAAAATTAATGAAGATCAAATTTGATATGAGTGAGGAAGCCAGGAAAAAGTACAGGACAAATGACATATATGCTGATCTTTTACATGGAAGAAGTTCTAATACTGAGACAGACATGATCAATCTTGTTGGCTACAGAATCCTCATGACTTACTATTATATGCCATCCTTTCAAATAGCATGGATAGAGATTTATATTAGAGTCTGGTTATGCAGTCTAGACTGACTTATAAAGTTGACAGGTGCCTATTATCTGCTCAAACAAAAAAACAGAAAATCATCTTTAGATGATTTATGCACAATGCACATTCCATACTTGTGTTAATGCAGATATATGTAGCATTAATAATAAAAACCCAGAGACAGATATTGGGGTTCAAGCTGAAGTTCAGAAAAGGAAAGCAGCCAACCACTAAAGGACTCTTATTTCTACCAAGGGGCAATTGTGTCCTCAGGATGACTTCAGACTGAATACACTGCACTCCTGTCTCCACCTGCCTTATATTCCTCTCTAGTGATGGGATTAAAGGAGTGCATCACCACTGCCCAGCTTCTACGGAAAACGAGTGTGGCTATTAGGATTAAAGGTGTCTGCCATCACTGCATGGCCTCTATGGCTGACTAGTGTGGTTAGCTTTGCACTCTGATTTTCACACAAGCTTTATTTGTGAGATCATAAACAAAATATCACCACAGATGCATGTGTTACCTTTAGAATTTTGTGTATTTTGAGAAAACAAGGACCACACAACAATAAAGACAAGCAGCCCAGGTTACCAGCCTCTTAAAATGCCTCTGTTACAGTTTCCTCAAAATTCTGCAACCAGAACAATGTCAAAGATGCTAACTGAGATGGTCCAGCCTCACAGACTATCCAGCCAAGATTTCAGATAAGCTCTATACTTTCCACTCACACAGAGGCTAAGCAAAAATAACACAACTAGTTCTCCCATGACTTGACCATCATCCCAGTTTTCTCATGGTCTCCTAAAGAAGCCATTATATCCCACATATCAGGACATATACAGAACAAGATGCCCACATTCTGAAGAGCTGAGGTGGATGGTTTTTAGTCATTCTGTAGTTTATGGATATTTGTCATCATTTAGGGGAATTAGTTACAAGTTGTTATTGGTAATGGTGAGGAAAACAGCTGAACAGAGAGATTAGATTCAGGGATCTCTTTCTTAGGGTAAAAAGGGTTATAGTATAGAGATGATAGGATGAAAGGGTGGATTGTTTCCATCTACTTTTGAACAATCTCTAGTCTCAAATATTTTATATTAGTATAGACTTTTGTATATTGATACAAATGTAGGGTTATTTTTATTATACTGTTTGTGTGTATCTATTCTTGTTTACAGTATTGTACCTATGAAGCTCATCTAAAAATGTAATGTAAAGGTTTAGTTCTTGAAAACTGTTTAAGATAATAAAGACAGGTTAGTAGTTAGTCATCTATAATAATCAAATATATACCCATGTTATAAATGTTTCCAAGGTCAAACAGAGATATGTTTTAAATTGATAGATGATCTTCAAACACTTCAGAGATCTAAAGAATATGGCATTTAAAGTATTTAAGTAACACAAGGCTTTTCATGACAATGAGACACATCTGCTCCTGTCAGCACCAATTTACTTCAAAAGAGGATGACAGTCATCGAAGTACATCCATATTGAGTTTACTTTCATTTGTGGCAAAGTTAGCCACTGAGCAAAGAAATTGCCCTGGATTTGAGTGCTGACAGAATGCTACCCAAATTAGACAAGCAGGACACAAAAGAAGGCAACTGCCAAACTTTGCCAAAGCAAGATAGAATAGTCCTTCAAAATCCCTGCTTCACAAAAAAGTCTGTCAGACTGAGATGGATGTCCCAATGTTGTTGATGAAACTTGGGGTGACTGTCCTGGCATCCAGATAGCTCTGTTGTTTCTTAGTTTTGGAAGTTGATTGCTCTGCACTTCCTGTTTAAATGGATAATATTGCATCCTCCTTGGGTATCTGACAGGGTTAAAAATTATATATAGTTACAGTTTTCTATAGTTTTGATAAAAAGTGAAACAGATACAAAACATTGCACTCACTAAGATAGAATAGATAACAGATTATTTTCTCTGAATTTACCAAATACTAATGGACTGAACATTGCAAATGTATTGCTTACTTGATAATTGTTCTCATTGTATATAACTTTACTCTGTTAGAGTTAAAACCTTCCCATTTTATTTATACACAAAAGGAAATCTTGTGTGATAGTTGTACATTGTGAAGATGTATTTCTGTGATAGGTATAACAAAATGCTGAATGTCCATTAGTCAGGAGAGATGGGGGGACTTCTGGGCAGAGAGAGAATGCTGAGAAGAAGAAAGCAGAGTCACCAGCAGACATTGAGGAAGCAGGATGGGCAGCATAGAGTGAAGGTAACCAAGCCCCCTAAAAGAATATAGCTTGAAAGATTTGGATTAATATAAGTTATACAAACAGTTAGCAACAAGCTTACGCTAAGGCTGAGCTTTGATAATTAATAATAAATCTCTGTGTCATTATTGTTGGTCTGGCAGTCCTGACAAGAAAGAACTACAACTACTATTACTGCTACTACACACACACACACACACACAGAGAGAGAGAGAGAGAGAGAGAGAGAGAGAGAAAGAGAGAGAGAAAGAGAGAGAGAGGTAGTCTCTTTTCTTCTCTCATTTATAGACAAACTCATAAAAATATTTTATGCATATAGGAAAATGTAAATTAAAAAGGAAACTTTAGAAGAGAGAAAGAGTTGATCTCTACAATTAAGTAGCTTCAACTCATGTGAATATTCTCCCCAACACAAAGAAATTTGTTCAGAAAATTCACACTAATCTAAGGTATAAATGTTATTTTCATGCTACTGTGAAAGCAGAGTGAAAGGAATTGATCTATTTTATAGTTACAAAGCACATCTGGAGGAAAAATCATTATATCTGAATATTACAGTATAACCTGCAACCATTTTCCTTCTCAAGTGCATTGTCTCAAATGTAAAATCCCCATTGTATTCTTAACTAGCTACAGAGACTTGGCTGTGAAGAAACTCAGGTAAATGACTCTTGCTTGACTCTCTACCTCTTTAATTGTACTGTAGACTTCTATCAAATGCTGTTGAGGACATGTACCTAATTGATTAGTAATCTTGCTTAATCTTGAACAAACTTTAAAATGAAAATATTCTTTCACATATTATTTACCAAGCATATACCCTACTATTAATAAAGTATGGAAGATAATGTGCATTCTTTACAGCCCCTTTCAAAATCTTTTATTCCTTATTTTATTGAATATAAATATTAACAGAATAGATTCAACTTAAGATACAGTCATGTTAAGTTAGTATGTCAATATATTTCCCTTAAATATAACAACTATTGTAATATTCTTCTCTGTTTCAGATAACTATTAATTTGGATCCTTTCTTTTCCTTTTATTGAAAATATATTTTCTCACATATATATCCTGATTACAGTTTCCCCTCTTTCTCCTCCCAGGTCCTACCTATCTCCCCTCCATCCATATCTATACCTTTTCTGTTTCCAATTAGAAAACAAGAAGGCTTCTAGGGGATAATGATAAGATAAAATAAAATATAGTAAGATAAAACAAAAACTAATATATCTGAATAGGGACAAAAGAAAAGAAAATGAGACCAAGAAAAGGCCAAGAAACAGATGAAGATAGACAGAACTACCAGTTCCCACATTCAGGAATCCATGAAAATACTAAACTGGAAGCCATAATATATACTCAAAGGACTGTAGTAAAATGGAGAGAAAAAAATTTAAACAAACAACTCTGACGCTGTAGGAAAAACTGTGGCCAGCCTACCCAAGCATCAGTCACCCTGCCCAGGTGCAGCCGAGGCCAGCCCTCATGAGCATGCACAGCTGGAACTTCCTCCCTGAGCCAAGCCTTCCCCTGTGCCCACAGACTGATGACTAAGAAACACCTGACCCAGAGACACCAATGAGGAAAGGACAACACAGCAGAGTCAGCTTCCTGACCCAATGGGACCTTGGGAGGGGGGTATAAAGGAAGGTGTAATTTCCTTAATAAACAACTATGCAGCACGCTCTGTTACTCACTGACTCCCTGTGTCTGAGTACTGAGGCATTGGTGCTGCATCTTCTCACCCACTCCCCCAAGGGGTGTCTGAGCAGGATCACCGGCAACACTGACACAACATAATAAGTCAAGGACCCTCCAAAGGTAATAGTAAGTTTATTTTCTGTTGTCTACCTACTGCTGGGCATGTAGTAGTTTGTTTCCCCAGTGAGATTCCATTGGCAGAAACTAAATTTCCATTTTCATGTGTTTACTAATTACAGGTAGCTTTGGGTTAGGGATTGGGGACTGTGTCTATTTCTCCTTTCATCTCTAGGACCCCATGCTGCCTTAGAATCTGTAAGTTAATATGTGCTGTATTTAGAAGGCCTTCTTTTCTTGGTGTCTTCCATCCCCTCTGGCTCCTACACTCTTTCAGAATTCTTTTCCTTTGTGTTCACTGAACCAAGAAGGGAGAGATTTGAGGGAGACATCCTGTTTAAGGTTGAGTATCCCTGGATTTTAACTCTCTGCACAATGTCTGGCTGTGTGTCACTATATCTGTTTCCACCTGCTGTAGGAGGAAACTTTGATGATGTTGAACAAGGCACTGACCTATGATTACAGGATAATTTCATTAGGCATCATGTTATTGCTACATTCTTTTAGTATAACAGTAGTATTTTTTTTTACCCTAGTTCTCTGGGTTATCTAGTTTCACGTCCTTGGTCAATCAAACCGGGGTATGGATTCCATCTCATGGAGTGGACCTTAAATCAAATCAGATCTTGGCTGGCTAGTCCCACAAGTTTGTGCCACCATTACACTAGTATATCTTGCAGGAAGGAAACCATTGTAGACCAAAGGGTTAGTGACTGGGTTGGTGTTTCCATTTCTCCTTTGATAGTTTCAGAGTACTTGTTTTGGAAAGACACTAGCCAGTAAGGGTGAAAGCTCTATGTAAGCACCAGCTAGATGTCTCCATATTTAATGAGGGATATATATATATATATATATATATATATATATATATATATATATATATATGTTTTTCTTATTGGTTAATGAATAAAACACTGATTGGCTGATTGGCCAGAGAGGAAGTGAAATA